GACTGTTTTATCTATAAGATGTTTTATGTAAACTAATGGTAACCTTGAAGCAAAAACTATAGTAGACTGAGGGGGGAATCAAAGTATATACCATAGAAAATCACCAATTCACAAAGATAGAAAAAAAGGGGGAAAAGAATGAGGTAACTAAAAAACAGCCAGAAAGCAATTAAAGATATGGCATTAATAAGTCCTTACATATCAACAATTACTCTAAATATGAATGATATTAACTAACCTATAAAAACACAGAATCGATGGATAAAATGAGTGGATAAAAAAGCAAGACCCAACTGAATTCTGCCTTTAAGAGATTGACTTCAGTTTTAACAGCACACATAGGCTCAAAATAGAGATTAAAAATATTCCATGAAAGTAGAAACTAAAAGAAAGATGGAATAGCTATCCTTATATAAGATAAAATAGACTTTAAGACAAAAATAGTAACAAGACAAAAAGAATGTCATTATATAATGATAAATGGTCAACACTTTAAAAAGACATAACAGCCCGGCCGGGCGTGGCTCAGCGGTTGGACATGGACCTAGGATCTAGGCGATCAGGGTTCGATTCCAGGTCAGGGCACATGCCTGGGTTGCAGGCTAGACAGCCGATCAATGATTCTCTAATCATTGATGTTTCTATCTCTCTCTCTCCCTCTCCTTTCCTCTCTCTTAAATCAATAAAGATATATTTAAAAAATAAATAAAAAATAAAAAGACATAACAATCATAATATACACACCCAACTCGACCACCTAGAATATCAAGCAAATACTAACAAATCTGAAGGAAGAAATTGAGAGCAATACAATAAATGTGGGACACTTCAATACACCACTTTTAACAACGGATAGAAAATCCAGACAGAAAAATCACAAGGAAATGTTGGGCTTGAACCACACTTTAAATCAACTGGACATAACATATATATAGAACATTTCATCAAACATCGGCAAAATATACATTCTCAAGTTCATATGCAACATTACCAAGGAGACAGGTCATATTACAGGCCACAGAAGAAATCTTAGCAAACTTAAGAAGATTGAAAACATACCAAGTATCTATTTGGCCAAAATAATATGAAATTACAAACCAACTAGAGGAAAGATGAAAAACTCACAAACACATAAAAATTAAACAACACACTCTGAACAATCAGTGGGCCAAAGAAGAAATTAAAAAGAAAAATTTTTTAAATATCTAAAACACATCAAAATAAAAACAAAACAGCAAAAATACTGGGATGCTGCAAAAGTAGTTCTTAGAGGTAGTTTATAATAATAAATTCACATATAAAGAAAATAGATAATTTCAAATAAGCAATCTACATCTAATGGAACTAGAAAAAGAAAAGTAAGGCCAAAGTTAGCGAAAGAAAGGCAGTTACAAAGATCATAGTGAAATAAATAAGGACCAAAAAATGAAGAAAAAGATCAATGAAACTCAGAAAAAATTTTTTGTAAAGATAAACAAATTAAAAGATCTTCAGCTAGATTAAGAAAAAAATAGAGGAAAGTGATGTCACCAAGGTGATGACGTAGGTTGTTTCCAAGTTTTCACCCTCTCAGAAGAAGAAAAACTAACATCTATTTATGGACAAGACAGCAATGAGAGAATCCTGGAACATGAGGGTGAGACTAAAGCAGACCCATGCACCACCTAGACTGAGACAGACTGAGAGAGGGTAAGAGTAGCATTACACTGACCATACTGCCCCTTCCCCAGGCCAGCAAGACACCACACTGAGCCTACAGTTCCTCCACTGGGGAAAGAGAGCTCAGGGTGGACATGCAGATCCCCCAGCATTGTGAGTCACCTCCTGGGAGTCCACACTTTGATTCTGCCTCACAGGGATCGGGGGAAAATCTGTGGGGCTTGCCCACTGGGATTCTCATTTTGATGGAGAAAGCAGGAGGGACTTGCAACAACCAGTGCTTGGAGCTTGGTAGTCAAAGTTCCTACCTGCACTGCCCAAGTAGTTGTCTCAACCAGTGGCTTTGCTGATTTCAGAGCCAAGAAAGTGGTGCAGTATTACCAGGGAACTTGACAGGGTTCAGGTCTGCCTGCTTTGGGACCTCAAACAAAGAGTCTTGCCACCTCTGTAGCCTGGTCTGTTCCCTTACCAGGCAAAAGAGCTGAGAAATAGGCCTGACGACACACAGCTGGGTGTAGTTCCCACACAACAGTCGCTATAATTAACTAGGGCTACAAATTTAGTAACCCAATTCAGCTCTATTCTGAAACTTATTACAGCAGGGCCTAGTTGCTGGGAGAGGTCATCAAGAAGATGTGACCACTGGTCTGACCTGCAAGCTGATCTTGGAAATTTGAGGCTCCCACCTCCTCCAGACTTTACTTGGAATCTGTGCTCTGTTTGCTATCTCTGTGCTAGAAGCTATAACAATCTTGAGATAGAAATGTGGTGATTAGACTATTTGAACTAGGTATATGACTAAACCCAGATAAAGCCCCCTGTATATGTCACTGAACCTAATTAGGGCCTCTAAAATTCTGGTGGGCTGGTGCAGAAAACTACTTATCTTGTGGCTGCCCAAGTCAAGCCTGTAAATTCTCTTGTTAATTAAACCTGCCACCTACCAACTAGAATGGACTACCTTTTCCTTCAGTCTCTCTCTGCTTTCCACATACAGGGGCCAGTTTCAGATTATATTCAGGAAGCTCTGCAGGAGGATGCAACCCAACACTAGCATATAGTAGGAACCCAATAAATGTCGAATAAATTAATGAGTGATGCTGAAAAGTGTCGAAGATTAACGTGGTTTGGGGAAACATCTATCATGTGCTTGCTTACTTACTCCATGTCCTTTGCACTTTGCTGAACACTGAAGAAACTGGCTCTGAAAAGAGCCTATGTCTACACATAAACGATTTACACAAATCTAATGAAAAAAAATTTCCAAGTCAGAGAAGTTCAGCTATTTTAACATTTTAATCAGTAATTTTATAACATACGATCATAACCATTCAATGCAATAAATATCCATTTAAGTACTGCTTTTGCTGTATCCCACAAATTTTTATATATTGTATTTTCATTTTCATATAATTCAAATTATTTTTCAATTTCTCCTTTCAGAATGTATTGTTTAATCTCCAAGTATTTTGACTTTTCAGGTAAGTCTGATATAAACTACAGACTTTGGGTGATAGTGATGTGTCAATGTAGGCTCATCAACTATAACAAATGTACCAACAATGTTTTATCATATAGGACTTACAGTACCATTAAAGGTTACCTGGTACAATTTGTTTTCATACAATATCACTGAGAACTGTCCATGTTATGGAAAAGATTATCTTCTTACTAAATTACCAACTGAATAATATCATGTTGACTTCTCTTTTCCTTTTAGAAATATAATTTTATTTATTAAAAATAATTTCACATATAATTTTTTAGCTCTACTATGCACAGGGAGTTTATGATAATATCTTAAATCTTTTTTTAATTTTATTTTAATTGTTGACACTATTACAGATGTCCCCACTTCCCCACCCTTTGCCTATCTCCACCCAGCCTCCTCACCCCTCTTCCCTCTGGCCATCACGACACTGTTGTCTGTGCATATGGGTTATGCATATATATTCTTTGGCTAAACCCTTCACCTTCTCTCATTCATTCCTCCTTTTCCCCCTCCCCTCTGACAGCTGTCAGTCTGTCCCTTGTATCTATGCTTTTGTTCATAGCAGCATTATTTACAATAGCCAAGATCTGGAAATAGCCCAAGTACCCATCAGCAGATGACTGGATAAAAAAGCTGTGGTACATTTACACAATGAAATACTATGCAGCCATAAAAAAGAAAGAACTCTTACCTTTCGCAACAACATGGATATACCAGGAGTTTATTATGCTAAGTGAAATAAGCCAGTCAAAGACAAACAAAAACCATATGTTCTCACTTATATGTGGAATATAATGAGCAAAATAAACTGACAAACAAAATAAAAACAGAGGCAAGGAGACTTTATTAATTGTTTTGGCTCCATGGCCTAAATATATCTACTGAGTTCCCAGACATACCCTCCTTCAAGGAGGCATTCATGGCTCCTAGGCAGGAAGAGGAAGCCTGGCAAGGATATGGTCAGGAATAAAATAGACTTTGAAATAAATTTATTCTCTCTGTTTTCTCTAGATTTGTGTCAGCCTCTGAAATAATGAATTATAATAACAATAAATAATAATATCCAACCTATATTTAACTCTTACTATGTGCTAGACATTGAGCTAACCACTTCATACTGTTATCTAATTTAATATTCTCAATAACCCCAGAGTAAATGCTATTATATACACCCACTTTATATATAGTTGTGGTATCTCAGACTTGTTAGGTATCTAGCAAAATGTCAAAACATAAGAGGTGATAACTTGATTCTATGAAGACTGATCTAACTTGTGATCTTATCTTCTGGGCAACAAAGAGACCCATATTACCCAGTGGGATTTCTTCTTTTTTTCCAAGAAAAGTGAATTTCCATGCTAGAGAGTACTTAACTACAGTATAGTACCAAGACCTCACCTCTCCCCACTCCAGTCCCCAAATACTTGGTGGTTTCCTTGCTTACAACACTGAAATTCTGAAAAAAACCAAACTGATCCATTTCCCTCTTAATATTTCATCTGGCCCAGCCGGGCGTGGCTCAGCGGTTGAGTGTAGACCTTGGATCCAGGCAATTAGGGTTCGATTCCCGGTCAGGGCACATGCCCGGGTTGTGGGCTCGATCAATGACTCTCTCATCATTGATGTTTCTCTCTCTCCCTCTCTTTTTCTCTCTCTGAAATCAATAAAGATATATTTTAAATATATATATATTTCATCTGGAGTCCAACTGAAGCTTATTCATTTCCTTTATCTAAATATTTAAGGTTACATAGCACTACACATGAATTTAAATTTGACACTGAAATGAAAATATGTATTAATTAAATAAATTTCATTTAATTTAAAAAATAAACTTTAAATCACTTACCCTCCTAGTATCACAGTGAGAGCCACTAGGGACCACCATTGGATCTGTAGTTGGGTCATAAATACTGTAGTCTAAAGCTATACATATAATGTTTTGTACATAAGCATAAATCACAGAAACATTAGCTCTACGGAAAGGAGTTAGAGTAGGGTAGGTACAAATTAATCTTCCACATATAAGATTCCTGCAAACATAATAAAATTGCATGATTATTATACATTAGGCACTTATTGGAAATGCTTCAGATTTGCTTTCTATGACAAAAATTAAAATAAATGGTAGATAATTTATGGCAACGTGTCTAGGGAAAATGTAATACTTTAACACTCACATTTAAAGTAAAAAGTAAAAAAGTATAAAGCCATTGATACAAGATTATCTTTCAAAGCTACGAATGGTCTTTTATTCACTGTGCAGGTTTACATACTTATTGTCAAATAATCAATTAACACAAGCATTTTATATGATATAATGATGAACAAATTATGACCAATACTCTCAAGATCCTTACAGTCTAATACCAAATGTGATGTTTTGTTGAGTCATACACTTGAAACCTGTATGGTTTTATGAACCAATGTCACCCCAATAAATTCAATTTAAAAAAAGAATAATTGTTTTTTAAAAGTTCTACAAATAAAATAAATTCTTCCATTCTAATTTAGCAGTCAGGGAAAACGTCAAAGAGAACATCCAATCTGAGTCAAAGTTTACAAGTTAGGAGGGACTTAGCATAGTAAGGCATTTCTAAACAAAAGTAACAGCATAAGCAAATCAAGGAAGCATAAAACTGTGGTATATATACCTGTCTACAAATCCCATGAGTACAAGGGCCATGGATGATTTGCTAACTAGTATCTAGCCCAGCGTCCAGCACATAGTAGGTTCTTATTAAATGTTTGTTAAAATAAATTGATAACCAATATATCAAAGAGCTGGCTCTTCAGATGCAGGCAAAAATGAACTTCATTTTATTTATTTTTAAAATTTTATTTTTATTATTGAAAGTATTACAGATGTCCCCCTTTTTTTCCCATGGACCCTCTCTACCCTGCACCCACACCCCACCAGGCCTTCACCGCACTTTTGTCTATGTCCATGGGTTATGTATATATGCATATACATAATCTCACTCATATTTGGAATCTAATGAACAAAATAACCTGGTCAACAAAATAGATCCAGAGACATAGAAGCATGGAAAAGACTGACAAATCAAAGAGGGAAGGGGAGCTTGGGGGTGGGAAGAGATTAACCAAAAATGAACTTCATTTTAAAGACACTGGGCAGTCTTCAGCTTGGGCAAGCAATCAAATGAATAGGGACAGTATTTTTATAAAGAACAATGAGCAGGTTCAGAAAGGAAAGGTGCAACATACATTAGTTTCAATCATGTATTAGACTCAGGGGCCTAATGATCATCTACATATGTTTAAAAATTAGATGTAAATTTAAGCCTCTAGCACATGAAAGATGTCAGGGCTAGAGATTTTAATTGAGATTCACTCCCATACACATGTAATACTTGGAACCGCTGGAATAAATGACACATATGAAGAAAAACTAGTCCTGGCCAGTGTGGCTCAGTTGGCTGGAGCATCATCCTGTACACCAAAAGGCTGCAGGTTTGATTCCCAATCAGGGCACATTCCCAGACTGCAGGTTCAATCCCCAGTTGGGACACGTATGGGAGGCATCTGATCAATGTTTCTCTCTCACATCGATGTTTCTCTTCTCTCCCTTCCTCTCCCTCTCAAAAATCAATTTTAAAAGGAAAACTAAACAGAATTTTACAGAACATAAAAGCATATTTAATATTTACATAGCATACCTCCATTGACAGTATTTATGGCCGCCTCTAGCCTTACCGCAGTTCCCAAACCTATCAACTTGAGATTGGATTTCTTGATAGCAGACAAATGGAGCATTTTTTGAACCTGTCAAAGTTTAAAATATATTTGGATTAAGACTCTCTTTATTTTTCATCTTCTTCATTTCTTCATATATTATGTCCCCTTTTCCTTTTTCTCTATTATCTAATTCAAAAATCTTCCTAATGAAGTTGTTGAAAAAGAGAAAAATTAAAGTGAAGGGACAATGCTCATGGTTATTCCTCCTTTCCATTTTGTGTTATTGTCATCACAAAAGATAAGAGGGAAAGAAGAGTTATAGAACTGTAACCACAAGAGGGCTCTGTGAAAGTAAGCAACAGAAAGCTAACACAAGAGAATTATACTTGTTCTCTGAGATTCTGAGTAGGAATTCACACAAAGCCAGGTCTACAACTTAATCTCGCTGAAGAACCTCATTGTATCCTCAAGAAGTCTAAAATAAAAGGACCAAAATTGCCAACCTTTATATTTAACTATTTTTTTCCTTCACTACTATACTAATTTTTTATCGCTTTACAAAAGACTCCTGAAATCTTGGCAGCTTACAGCCCCATTTATAATGTCACAGTTTCTAGAAGTCAGGAGTCCAGCAAGGCACAAATGATTTCTCTACTCAGGGTCTCACTAGGCTGAAACAAAGTTATTGGCTGAGGCTGGAGTCCTCCTGTGAGCTCACTAACTGTTGGTAGAATTCAGGGATTTTTTGCAGTCATAGCTCCAATTTCTTACTATCTGCCAAGGGGTGATCTTGGCTCCTAGGAATTCCCCCTCAGGTCCTAGTCACATGGCCCTTTCAAATCATGGCAGCTTATTTCTTCCAAGCCAGCATGAGAATCTTTCTGACACCACCCATCTTTTAAGGGCTCACATAATTAGGTCAGGCCCACTCAGAATGATCTCAATTAATTCAAAGTTAACTGACTGTGGACCTTAATTACATCTTCAAAATCCCTTCATCTTCACTATATAATATACTCACAGGAATGATATCCCATCATATATTCACTGGTTCTGCCCCAACTCAAAGTGCACTACCCAACGCACGTACGTTAGGAGAGTCTCAGGGGTCATCTTAGAATTCTACAGAGCAGTTACCTTCTCTAAAACGAACTTTGCTAAGCCTAGCTGCTTCACATATAAAAGCAGATTGTATCTACCTCAATAGATTGTTATGAGAATTAAGATGATGTTTATTTAGTCACTGGTAGTTCTCAGCTAATCCTTCCCTATATTTTTACAATCAAGAAGGTTTCTCCTGTTTACCTGCCCCTTCCATGATTTGGATTTTTCCCCAATATTAAGTTTTTTATCTTCTCCTAATTTGCTATCTTTCCACCATTTTTAAACATTGGTTCATCAAAAGTAATCCATAAAGACAGGCAATGTTGTTTTTGAATATTCACAATGTTTAATCAGTTCAGTTGTGAATCTGAGATACCAGATTAGGAATGCCAATGTATAAATTGTTAAACATCATGATAATCCAAGGAAATTCAGAAATTGGATAATTCAGTCCAGTTTGGAGAAAAAATATAAAAGAATATGTTAGTCACAGAGAAGTCAGACGGATTCTACTGAAAGTCATGTTCTTCATCCAGTCCAATTTTCATTAGTCCATCTATTGCACCTAAAAGTACCAATGAGCCATAGTATTAACTTCACCCTTAAATACCTCTCGTTACTGTTAGGGACTTCTTCTCAGATCAGTCTGGGTTTTCCAGGGTGAGATGAAAACACTAAGAGGGTAACACTTTGCAAATGTGAAGTCACATTTCAAATATTCCCTTAAATCCACCATACTGACCAAGTCGACAAAGTAAGAGAATTTGCCCTTTGATATTCCAAATAATATATTTGTATTCCCTGTATCCTATTATAAAAGGCTATGAGGTACAATAAAATAGGGACCATAACCTAACATCTGACTCACCTCATCTCATGACTACCAGGCACTTACAATTTAACATATCCTAAAACCAAATTCTGTTATAACCCTAGACTTCCTTATTTCAGTTTATGGGACCATTTAGTCAACCAGATATTCAGGCTAAAACTTAGGGATCACCCTTGATTTACTTCTTCCCCTCATTACCTGCCTCCACTGTCTAATCCAAGTCTTACCGACACTGCCTCCTAAATACAGCCTTGGCATGACCACTTCTCACTTTTTTCATGGCCACCACTCTCGCCAGCACTATCATCAATTCTCTTCTAACACACTACCACAGACTTCTAATCAACTTCCTGCTTCTACCGATGTCCACTCCCCATAGTGCATCCTCCATACCATGAATCAGAGTGATCTTTTTAAACAATAAAAATCACGTATCAGCCTCTTATTGAAATATCTCTAATGGCTTCCCCTTACACAAAAAATAAAATCCAACCTTTTTACCACAGTCTTTACTCAGCCTGGTTCACTACACTTCAGCCACAATGTCCTTCATTTTATCCTTAAGCTCACCAAATTCAATCCCAACTCAGTACCATAACATCTGCTGCTTTTCTCTGTCTCAAATGCTCTTTCACAAGATCATCTCTTGACTAGCCCCTTCTGAATATTCAAGTTTCCACTCAAATTTCACTTCCACACACAAACTGTCCCTGAACACCCAATCTAAAGCAGCCTACTTTTATCATCACTCTTTGTCCTACCATCATGTGTTACTGTTGCTGTTGTTACTTTGTTTTTGTTTTTTTGTAACACTGCTAATGGAAATGATTTTGTTTATTTACTTACCAATCTTTACTATTTATTGTCTAAACCCTATAATACCACTAATGGAAATGACTACATTTTTTTTTATTTACTAATTTTTTACTGTTTATTGCCTGAACCCTTAAGTGGAATATAACCTCCATAAGAATAGGAACCATATTTTTTGTCCTGTTCATCACAGGGTTTCCAGTGCTAGAAGAGTGCCTTACCCAACTGAGGTGCTAAATATATATTCATGGAACAAATTTTAAAAAATCAACATCTTGGGTAACCATATCTCATGATCTGTCTTCCTTATGAAGTTTAATATCCAAAATCAGGTCCTCCAACATAAATTATACTTATTCTACTTGAGGCAATAGAGAATTTTGAACATTAACATTTGAAATGAACTCCTTAGTGATCTCATCCAAATCATGATTCCAATGTCACCTCACTAATATCATTAAATATTCTTTACTGAAAGAGGCAATCTTTTTCAAAGAATTCGCAGATAGAACCAATCTAAATTTTCCACAGATGGATTAAGTAAATAGCACTCTTTTCCTCATGGTTCCTAAAACAGTCTTAAGAGATTAAGTAAGCATAAACTCACTTATAGAATCTGAAGCTCCTTGAGCTATATAATTCTTTTCCATCTCCAATAAACTATAGATAACTACTGTAACACTAGATTAAATGATAGAGAAATAACCATTTTCTGGTAATCTCAGAAAGCCCATTAAAATTATGGAATAGCTCGGCCAATGAGGCTCAGTAGTTAAGCATCGACCCATGAACCAGGAGATCACCGTTCGATACCTGGTCAGGGCCCATGTCTGGGTAGTGGGCTCAATCCCCAGTAGGGGGTGTGCAGGAGGCAGTTAATCAATGACTCTCATCAATGATTTTTCTATCTCTCTCTCCCTCTCCCCTTCTCTCTCTGAAATAAAAAAAAACATATTTTTTAAAATTATGAGAATGAAGAGACAGATTAAATGAAATACCACTTATTACACTGGCCTTGAAGAAATATGGGTAGACAGATTAAAGATGATGGTGGACTGAATGGAAGCTACACTGACACTCTACCAGGACCAAACTGGAATTACAACTAAAATATACAAAAACCATCCTGAATAATCAACTGCAACTAAAGATGAGCTAGAGAGCACCCTCATAATCAAGGACCTAAAGTGGAGACGACATAGAGACTGGTAGGAAGTGTGGAGGCAGGAGAGGTCTGGCTAGGCTTCCACAGGCAGCAACTGAAGGTCCAGAGGGCTATCTCAGCTGGGGGGGTTTCCACTGAGGACCCTGGGGCCTAAATCCCAGGCTGGACTTCCCAGCCAAGAGCACCAGAACTAAGAAAGGTGCCCATATAACATCTGGCTGTGAAAAGCAGCCAGGTTTCTGTCTGCCAGGAAGAGACAGCTGGAAATGCAGGCCCACCCTTAAAGAGTAAAAGCACAAAGTTTCTCATGTAGCCACTTACCTTAGGCTCCAGCAGAGGGAGGGCAGAGTGGATGGGAGCTGTGTGAGGAGAATCTAGGGACGTGGGCTCTAAAGACAGAAATCAGAGGGCACCCCTCTGGATTCCTGTGCAGAGTCATTCCCCCATACTGCAGAGGACATCAGGAAGACATCTGCCTTCCAAGCAGCTTTTGCCTGAGGCGGGGGAGCAATTTCCCATCACTGCTGGAAAACTTCTTGCCCTATCCCTTGGAGTTTCTACACCTGAGGCTCATTAAGAGAATGAGATTAATCAGACCTGTACTCTACATGACACTGAAAACTACATGACACTGAAAAAAGAAACAGAGGAAGATTTAAACAAGTGGAAGAATATACCATGCTCATGGATTGGAAGAATTAATATCATTAAAATGTCCATACCACCCAAAGCAATTTATAAATTCAATGCAATTCCTACTAAAATATCAACAGCAAATTTCACAGACCTAGAACAAACATTTTGAAAATTTATATGGAACCAAAAAAGACCCCGAATAGCTGCAGCCATCTTGAGAAAAAAGAACAGAGTGGGAGGGATCACATTATTGGATTTCAAACAGTATTACAAAGCCATTGTAATCAAAACGGCCTGGTATTGGTACAACAAACAGGCATACATGTTCGATGGAAAAGAACAGAGACGCCAGAAATAGACCCATGCCATTATGGTCAGTTAATATTTGACAAAGGAGGCAAGAGTATCCAATGGAGTAAAGACAGTCTCTTCAATAAGTGGTGCTGGGAAAATTGGACAGATACATGCAAAAAAATGAAACTAGACCACCAACTTTCACCATACACAAAAACAAACTCAAAATGGATAAAAGACTTA